TATCTATCTATCTATCTATCTATCTATATTATCTATCTATCTATCTATCTATCATCTACCTACCTACCTACATATATAAGCTGTGTGTAATCCATTTCTTTTTATTGCTGAGTCATTTTCTATGGTGTAGTTATACCAAAGACATCATTTAACCAAAATCGGGGATGAAAGAGGCAGGGTTGCTGTGGACCCAAGTGTGAAGACATTCTTTATGCTACAGAATTCCGTGAACGTTCAGTAGCTTTGGTAAAACAAATCCATTTCTGATAACCAGTAACTGCTCAGACTCGGTGAAATGAAGCTGACAGCTCGACTAGTCCCATAGCCATTAAAGACATTGCGTTTACAGCTTAAGTATATTCTGGAAAATAAATCTTCCACATCATAAGGCAAACATATTTTTAAAAAGAAAGAAGAAATGTGGGGCTGATGGATGATTCAGTGGTTAAGCGGATTTGTTGTCTGCTGTTGCAGAAGATCTTTGATTCCCAGCACCCACGTGGTGGCTCACGAATGTCCTTAGCCGGTTCCAGAGGACACAGTGCCCTCTTCTGGGTCTGCAGACTTCGAGCATACACACACATGGCTCACATACACACCTGCAGCAAGCATGCATACACATAAAATCAAAATAAATTTCAAAAAGAAATACTAATTCTAAACAGCTTTCCACAACATTTTTAAAACTTCTTATTTTGAAAAAAAAAATGTTCATAAGTTTCAGGAGTGGCCAGGCATTGGTGGCGCATGCCTTTAATTCCAGCACTTGGGAGGCAGAGGCAAGAGGATCTCTGTGAGTTCGAGGCCAGCCTGGTCTACAGAGTGAGTTCCAGGACAGGCTCTAAAACAATCAGAGAAACCCTGTCTTGAAAAACAAACAAAAAACCAAACCAAAAACAAAACAAACAAACAAAAAAGTTCATAAATAATACATAGAATTTACCTAGTTTTCTTCACTAGCATGTTGTGTAACCAAAACATTGCCAAATCATCTGCTGTATGTTCTTACATACAAAAGGGTGTGTGGTTATATGCTGAAAATAATGGCGTTCAGAAGTGTATGAAATAAGAATAGAAATCTGTCTCATGCCATATCTGAAGCCAAATTAGCAGGATTAATGGTATGTTGTCCCTACCTGGATGTCTGGATGACCCTCTACCTACCCTGCAACCACCAGAGACATCTGTCCCAGTGGTAGCTGGGTTTCTTCCCAAAGCCCACAGATGCCTGGATGTTCAGGCATAAACAGCACTCTCTGCCTCCTGACAGGGCCTCGCCAGTTTTGTGTAGTGGTTGGGGAACAAGGCTCTGTTGTTTATCTCTTTGTGTTTTATTGTTCTCTGTGAAAGAGACTTGAACTTGGGTTTAGAAAATTTGTATTTGAGTCTCTCTTCCCTAGTGTACCGGCTTTGTGCCAGGATTCTATTATAGTCCATTAAAATTCTACCTGCTCTCTGTGGCTGTGCCATGGTATATGCCTGGGACCAATGTGCATCACGTTGGGCATGTGAAAATAATGGCAGCTAGTCATGCACGAAAATAGAATACAGATGGTCACTGACATAATGATTGGGCTTAGCATCCTTCAGCTTTGTGTTGCTTTGAAAATGAAATGAATTCAGTAGCAACCAGACCTTTTGCAATTTGATCCTTTTCCCATGCTAATGATCAGCATTTGTGACACTCTTCTACAATTTCCTGCTGAAAACTATTGTGCTTGAAGCCCTGGCTAAGGGATGATGCTTGGAAGTCTGTGTGTTAAATTTTGAGTCAGGATTCATGTAACTTAGAGTGGGTTCGTGGGATGTATGCCCGCTGTGACATCAGAGCCTCTGTAGATGGTTATGTGTCAGGTGACAAAATGAGGTTGCTTTTATCTTATGGTGAGCATCAAGCAGACACCTGACGTGCTTGATACCTGTGCCTTTTGGTACTTTCACCATCGTAACCTTCATTTAAGACAGAACCATAGCTGGTCATGGTTCTGCCCAGAATTCAGGAGGCAGAGGCACATGGTCCAAGGCCAACCTCATCTGCATAGTGAGCTCCAGGGCTACATAGTGAAACCCTGTCTTAGTTTTTTGAATTTTAATTTAAATTAGTCACATTTGAATATATTCTAGGGTAAATATAATTTTAATATATGTTTAAGGTATTTATGCTTTCACATTGTACATAGGTTGAAATTTCAATAAGTGAAATCATGCAGTATTACCTTGAACCCAATGAGAATAGTTGCCATGACCCCGTGTGTGCTGTAGTGGTGGTGGTCATGGGGATTGGAGTTTGAGTAGCCAGTGAGCTGATAGTGCCCTTCTGGAAGATACTGTGGGTGTGGTCAGGGCCCAGTGTTGCCCACTGATGGGTGAGATAAGGATGGTGGCTCTCCAAGTATCCTAAGGTCAGAGCAGTGAATCAGATTTGCCCGTCCATTGAGGATGGGTTGATGTTAAAGATGAAGCACTTAGTGGAAAAAACAACAACAGCAGGAGAAACAGATTTATTTGTGGCATAATGCCAACTCAGGTAGAGTGAAAACATATAAATGAAAGAACTAACACGTGCACACTCTAAGTGCTCCAGAACAGTTGCTTGTGAGGGTGGTGGCAGAACCTCACGAGGACCGTGAGATGGGTAAAGGTACATATATAGACGTTGGACTATCTGATTGCCCAGGCTGTTAGCCAGGCTGTAGACAAAGGGAGGGCTAGTGGGAGGGGCTTTGTGGTAGCCCAGCTTGTACTCTGGCAGCTGGGCTTGTACTCTGTCTGTCCCGCAGTACTGACCTTCCCTGGCTATAGACTTTTCTTGTACAAAGGAATATATTAATGTATGCTTAGAACTTTAGTGAGGTTTAAAGTAAATGTCAGCCACTCCAAGGTGTCTGTTTCCACACCTGACAACCCCTAGTCAAGATGAATCCTTCTGAAGGAAATACTTGGTTGGGCACTCAGCGGCAGTATTTTTTGACACTCAGTATAGCCTTCTGTTTTTTTGTTTGGAATAAAGTGGAAGATGGAGGAGGAGGGCTTAGAATCCACTAGAAAACCACTAAAAATGGTAATAGTGAAAACTGTACTAACATACATTTGTACTAAGAGCTAGTAATAAGAATTGTTGCAGGATACATTTCTGGTCTAAAATCTTCATAAAAACATTGAAGATCCACTGTTAGCATGCCTATGTTTGTGTAGGAACCAGGTAGTACAGGAAGACCAAGATGTAAAGTACATTTCCTACTCCATTGTCAAAGGGATTTAACTTGTGTTTGGCTGTCTTCTTTATGGTAATTTATGGGGACAGTAGGCCTTTTCCTGAGTCCTCCTCTAAGGGCCATGGTTGGGGAGGACTGTGGCTATGGGTCCCTTTTACTGTTGTTTCTGACATTTGAACTTGTATAGATATCATCTGAGGGTCTTGTAAAAACAGTGTGGAGTTCTGCTTATTGGAGGTGTAATATCAGGGTCTTGCATTTATTAAGATTTAATACAAAATGGTGTGTGTTTGTCTGTATGAGAGTGTGCCACATGTGTGTGCCCCGTGAAGGTCAGAAGAGGGTATTGGATACCTGGGAGAGGAGTTGTAGGCAGTTCTGAGCTGTGTAACATGGTTTCTGGGAACCAGACTTGGGTCATCTGGGAAAGCAGGAAGTACTCTTAACTGCTCATCCATCTCTCCAGCCTCACAGTCTACTTTTTGACAAGTTTCCAGGACATGCTGATCACCTTTTCCAAACAATTAAAGTATTATTTACATACAGTAAGATTGTTTCCCAGTGTGCAGCTCTGTAAGCTTTTGACAGGTGAGTACAGTTGTGTAATTACGGCTAGAACCAAGTCATGCAAGTCTTATACCAGATTCCTTGTCCCTTCTGACAGTGTCCTCCCTGTCTGCTGGCATCCACTGTCTGGGTTCTGTGGTTTTGATTTCTCCAGTGTGTCATCATACTGAATGATGTATATATAGTACATAGTCTTTGAGTCAGGCTTCCTTCACCAAACAACTTGTACAGGAGATCTGCCTAAACTACACATGTCAGTAGTCTGCTCCTTTTACTGCCTTCCATGATATGGGCTCATCCCAGCTTACTTATCTAGCAACCCTTTTGAAAGGCATTAGTCTATAGTTTTTATATGATAATTCAAAAAAATCTTTGTGTGTCTGGGAGTGGTGCACAGTGCCTGTGTAGAGGTCAGAGGTCGATCCTGTAAGTCAGTTCTCACGTTTCTTCTTTGAGACAGGGCTCTTGTTGCTTACAGCTGTACAGAGCAGACTAGCTGGCCTACGAGCTTCCAGGGACTCTCCTGTCTCAGATTCCCATTGCATCACAGGAATGCTGGGATTGCAGATGGGCACCACCTCATCAAGCTTTCAGTGGGTTCTGGGGATCCAAATTCAGGTTTCTGTCATTGTTCAGAAAGAATTTTACTCACTGAACTGTCTCTCCAGCCCAAGATGCTTTTTTTTTTTTTTAAATAAAACTCTTAGAACTGGCTAGAGAGAGAGTTTAACTGGTAAAATGCTTGCTGCACAAGCATGAATTACTGAATTTGATCCCTACAACACATTAAAAAGACAGGTGTGGTACATGGTATGTGCTTATAATGCCAGTGCTGGAGAGGCAGAGAAGAACATATTCCCTGGGGTCCCTGGAGCTCACTGGCCAGTCAACCAACCTAACCTTCTTAGTTAGTTCCAGGCTACTGAGAGACAGACTCTGTCTCAAAAGACAAGGTGAATGGTTGGAGGTGCCTAAGGTTGACCTCTGGCCTCCATGTGTGTATGCCTGCATGTGTACACACACACACACACACACACACACACACACACACACACGCCTCCACGTGTGCATGCCTGCATGTGTACACGCACACACACATACACACCTCCATGTGTGCATGCCTGCATGTGTACACACACCATACACACACACACACACACACACACACTTTTGGAACTTTACAAGTAATGAAATTTTCTTTTCCCATTGCTGTTTTAGGTGATATCACTCAAAAAGGCTATGAAAAGAAAAGGGCGAAGCTGCTGGCTCGTTACATTCCTCTCATTCAAGGTAAGGCCGGCACCTTCTTGTTTTAGTAACAAATATACTGTCCTATAAAACACGATCTAAAAATGGACTTTAATGGGCTGGCGATGTGGCTTAGTGGTAGAAGACTTGCCTAGCATGTGCTAGATCTTGGGTACAATTCCTAACCTGGCAAACTAATAATAAATAAGAACTGATTTTTGTATTGTAAAAATTGGTATATGTTTCATATTTTATTAAGGGCCAAGCAATGTGTCTGTTGTTAGATAATAAAACCCAAGGGCATAGATTATAATTTACAGCTTTGGCTTGATTCAGAGCTCACTCCTAAATAGGACTTATTCTTTTTGTTTTGTTTTTGTTTTTCAAGACAGGGTTTCTCTGTGTAGCACCTCTGGCTGTCCTGGAACTCACTTTGTAGGCCAGGCAGGCTTCAAACTCACAGAGATGCCCCTGCCTCTACCTCCCAAGTGCTGGGATTAAAGGTGTGCGCCATCATTGCCCAGCAGTTTATCCTTATTCGTGGTCATAGAGTGGCCTGATATATTTCCTTACTAGGCAAGGACACATATTGTAAATTTTTTAGTTCTTTGCACATTAATTTGTAGATTTGGCATATTTGTTATTTTGATTTTTTTTGTTTTCTGTTTGTTTGTTTTTTTGAGACAGGGTTTCTCTGTGTAGCAGCCCTGGCTGCTTGGGAACTGGCTTTGTAGAATAGTATGGCCTTGAATTTACAGAGATTCGCCTGCCTCCGCCTCTAGAGTGCTGGGATTAATGCATGCACCATCACGCCCAGCTGCTATTTTGAATATTTTTAAAGTAATTTCACAACCTTATTATTATTATTATTATTATTATTATTATTATTATTATTATTATTTTTCGAGACAGGGTTTCTCTGTGGCTTTGGAGGCTGCCCTGGAACTAGCTCTTGTAGACCAGGCTGATCTTGAACTCACAGAGATGCACCTGCCTCTGTCTCCCGAGTGCTGGGATTAAAGGCGTGCGCCACCACTGCCCGGCTAACACAACCTAATTCTTAAATTTATGTCTTAAGTACAAAAGGTCAGGAGATCCAGAATGTGATGGGAGTTGTCTGGCAAGTTATTGAGCTATTATATGGCTATCATCACTGAGAATAGGTTACTTTGCAAGGGCAGGTGGCTGGACTAGTGGGACAGAAAGGCCACACATACATACATATGGGCTTGGTTTCTGAGAAATGGCATGTGGCTAGGGTGCTGGCATACCTGTACCTGTGTGTAAAACATATAAAATTAGACATCCAAGTTAGCTTCAGGTGTGTTGGGTCCAAGTGTGAAAGGCAGAAGCTGTAGAGCCCTTGGGAGATCTTACAGGGAAATGTGGCTATCTCAAGACAGGAAGGGTTTCTTAAATTGCCAGAGATGCCACTCGTAAAACAGCAGCCATAAGAGGAAAGATTTACAAGTTGGGATACATTAAACTTCATAGCTTCTTCTTTTTTAAATCAAAAGGTACCTCAGAGAGATTGAAAAGTACAACTGCAGGCTGTGGAAGATGGTTATGACACAGTGATTTAAGAAATGGCCCCAGAGTGTACAGACAGCACTGCCTAGGGGCTCTTCCTGCAGTAGCAGACAGGCTCTCCATCGGCATGGCTAGGGGCTAGCATGAGGCGTGGGGGACAGCTGATTAGGAGTCTAGCCTATGCCACCAAGAGCCCAAATGTCCTGATGTGATAAGAAAAATGGGTGAAGACTTAAATAGGCATTTCAAAGAAGGAAATAGCTAACAACAACAACAACAACAACAATAATAATAAATACCTAACCTCTCAGGCAATCAGAGAAGTTCAGATTAAAACCAGAGCCTGACATCCAAAACGGAGTCAGTGTGGATGTGCCTGCGTCACATGGTGCTACAGTTCTCCCTGAGGCACACGAGAATGTCCATCATGACCCTAGACTACCAAGATCTCCAACCTTGCTCAACAGAACCCAGACCATGGGATGCCAGAGCATCTAGACACCGTCAGTGATGAACCTCAGTGAGGTGATGGTTTGGAAGGACAACACAGAGCAGTGTGTCCAGCATGAGCTTTAAAAACACACCAGACACCAGGGAGGTGGAGGCAGGTGGATCTCTGTGAGTTTGAGGCCAGTCTAGTCTACATATTGAGTTATAGGTTAGCCAGGGCTGCACAGTGAGACCCCGACTAAAAGAGTAGTAATGATAATAATAAAATAAGTAAACCATGGAAAACCGCACCCGAGACCCTTATGAAGCTGTTAAAGAGAGAAAAGGAAATGAATTTCTAGAATGGAAATGGATTTTTCTAACACACCATTTCCTGGTAGAGGTGAGATTGGACAGTGTAGGTCATGTGATCTTCAGCTGTGTGTGTGTGGGTGTGGGTGCGGGGGAGAGGGAGGGGGGGGGAGAGA